TTTTAACAAATATTCGCTAAGCGTATTAACTTCAGATTCTTCTGATAAACAAATGATTGGTTGTAATTATTAACCAGTTACAACTCCTTTTCAGAGCGCGCACTTATGTGTGTCGCGAGAATCAAGCGATGACGAGTATACTCGTCGAACACAGAGTAAGTGTCGCTGTCAAAATATTGGATCAGAAAGACGGTTTTATTTTATCAAATTAACTATTTTATTACTGATGTTTACTTATTCACTTATTATTAACATATACTACATACACAATAAACGAGAAACGCAGAAAAAATCCAATACTTATAAAAGTTAAAAATTCAAATTGCTGCTATAGAGTGGTATTCAGCAAAGCAAGGAACGATACGTAATGGCACTTTGCACGTCGAACACCGATATCGTGATTTTATTCTAATCTTATTTCTATAACAATGTAAACACTTTCGTGTAGGATTGGTCTCGAAATATTCTAAACGTCTTGAAATTTGAGAACATGTTTTTGTTTTCACTAAAATTACAATTTAAATAGCCAGTAGTCACTACTTTTCACGCACGACGAGTATACTCGTCGTGACGCAAAATACTGCCACTTCTCCATGACGAGTATACTCGTCAAACACAGCTAACTGATTAAAAGGCGTTCGACTGCCTTTGTGATTCAATTTTCGTACAATCATTTTTAGTATCGAGTCGTTGAATCGACCGATATTCGACCGCGTAAACAACAAAATTTAATAGAACATGTTTCTCCAATTTTTAAAGGGTGCAAAATTTAGAATTATTTATTGCGCGAGGAGGGTGGTGGGGAGAGAGAGGAGGATGTTGAAAAATATGCGGGAATTTTGGAATATTCTCGTCCGTAATACTTATTTAGTTGGAATTTTCCAATAGTTTTCATAGTCTAATAGTCTATATGGTGGTTTGTCGGTCAAACGACTGCTATAAACGATGCTCGACCCAAATGTTAAGTTCGATTCATAATCGTAATATTATCCCACATGTGTGTTGGCCCTTACGTCAAGCTTGAAAAACGTTCGTTTCTTTTGTTTCAGAAGACATAATCGGAGTTCATTGCACGCATGGTATAAATCGCACCGGATACCTCATTTGTAGGTTAGTACCCTTTCTGTTCATTCTTTATTAGCTGTTTATTATTGCTCGCCTTTACGCGAGTCGATTATTCGATTTAGTATTAATCGTAAGAGCGATCCTTTTCAATCGATAACTATTTGAGATATCGTTGTCGTTTCTAAATGCTATGTGCGCGTGTTTGTATATACAAATTTATATCGTGATCATAAGCTCGATAGATGTTTCTTTTGATTTTGTCTCTATAAGTTTATTCGGTATTGGCCAGAGTAAACACGCTTACTATTTTTTACTTCCTTTTTTCCAGATATCTTGTGCAACAATTAGGGTGGGACCCTCAAGAGAGTTTAAAAGGCATGTGATTTTTATAGTTTTCTATTTCGGACGATCGTATTCGATACATATTTTTCAATCGATCGATCAATCAATCAATACAGGTTGACGTCTATCGTTAAAAGTCCAGACTTAATCCAGAATCACTTGAAACTAATTCGTCAAACGTGGAAATAACAAAATACGACGAAAGAAGAATATTCTAACCAAATATTTCTTTAAGCTGTAAAGAATACTACAGCATCTCCCCTCCGTTTAATTGCAAAATTTGGCGAATAGAGCAATTAGCGGAGAGGGTACGCGATTCAGGTCAACGTCAACGCGAAAAACTGTCGAAAAACAATTCATCACTCTGTCGACATTTCGCACGGGCTACGATAAACTTTCGAGAATTTTGAACGATACTTTTCACGAACGTTTCAACTTGCTACAACAACAGAGTACAAGAATGCAACGTTGCCACTGTATCGTGTCTTTTTAGAATCCACGTCCAAAAAAATTGCCTGCCTTTTCGTGTCGTTACAATTGTACAACCCCTCGACAACGATTTTCACGCATTCCCTTCCATTTCCTGCTAATTTGGGCAAAAAACGATGATTCGCGTTAATAATAATAAGTTCGGATGCGTACAGAATCGGTATACAAAGACTCCGTCGACGGTACTCTTCGCCCTTTGTCTCCTGTCCATTGAACGAACTACATCGAACAAAACCGGTTGCAAAAGAAACGCGCATCTTTGACGATTGCATTCGCGATCAAACGATTTCTTCTGTCCATGTTGCAGCGTTCGGTGAGGCTCGGGGCTACCCTATCGAGCGTCCGAATTACATAAACGCGTTAACCTGTTTGCCGGAGGAGCTGGTACCGACGGAAACAGCGAATCAACCGAAGATACCGACCGAACAGCACACCATCGTGGAAAGCAAGAAACGAAGAACGGAAGAGCCGGCGGTGCGCCCGATGGGTCCGCCAGGATACGTTCCGTTGCGTCGTTTCGCGAAGGACGGCTGCGGCCCGTTCGCGCCGCATCCGCACCCGCCGCCGCCGCTGCCGCCGTTCGGTTTCGCGGGCCCGCCGCACCGTTTCAGGCCCAGGCCGCCGATCCCGCCGTTGAGGGGCCCTCCTCCTATGTACGGGCCCCGGCCGTTCAGGTACGGACCACCGCGTCCAGCCATGCCTCCTCCGCCACCTAGACCAGGGTTCCCTACTCTAGGTTTCCCTCCACCGCCTCCGCCGCCGCCGCCGCCGCCACCGCCGGGCCCGAATCGAACGGCCGGCGGGGCCCGACTCCCGCTTGGCCCGCCCGCTCGCCTACCTCCGCCGCCATCCCCTCGCGCTAGACCGCGATCCGCGATGCTGAAACACGTGCAGTCGCAGAAGCGAAGGCACCACGTGAGAAACGGCATCGCGTCGCTGATTAAGAACCGCGCCGGAATAGTCAGGCGAACCGGCCATCCGAACAGACTGCTCCCGAAACTGTTCAAGGAACAGGACTTCACCGTGGACACGTTCGAGGAGAACCTCCTGGCCGTCGCCGGACAACCGAGGCGGTCCAAAGCCAGATTCAATCAGAGAAAGTGACGGCTCGCTGTCCGGCAAGCGTGACGTACTAATTGTAAGCGTATAATGTATCTATAGTCTACAGCGTAAATCGAACGAGAGTCGCGTCACGGTGTCGTCGTCCCCATGTGGCGCGGAAAGACTGGATGCGGCGCGGAACCGACGACGTCGGCGCGGCGGTGATCGATGGTATATGCTCCGACCTGCTTCGCGCGACTCGAAGGAACACGTCCTTCGATTACTCTTCTTTTCGTTCGTTTACGTTTCTGGATGCTGAGATCGTGCTCGTCCCCTGCGATCTGGAAATACGGACGATATTCGCCGTAATCGGTGTTACGGACTCTGGGGTCCTCAGGATCGACTGGACACAGGCGTGGGCGGTGTCGGATGGATGAATTATCTATCCTGGTAGGAACGTGATCGATCGGTGTCACTGAACCTGATTGTCGGTCAATTATTCGGGCTGCCTGTTAACTCGGAACTCTTTGCACTCGGAGCCACTCCGACTCGGGACATTTTCTCGGTTTCGGTACATTTGCGAAAACCGAGACGAATCGGTCGCCGCTTCGGCGCATTTACGTTTTTTAGCTGCTCGTTTAATGCGAACGAGTTTAACGCTAAACCTACCACCGTCAAAATGACCGATTTTTTTTTATTTTACGATAGTACAAACTTTGGAGACTTCTTTAGATTATCGAAACAAGTCTCATGATTAAAACTTTACAAGATCCAAGTGAATTCTATCTTTTCACTCTTATGAGTCGATGCACGCTAATCGTCATTACAGGTCGGTTGGTTTAGCGTTAACATGGTTCTTAGAAAAAGGTTTTCCGTCACAGTTACCACCCTCGATGGCGAAACGTATGTTGTTATGAGACAAAAATGAATCCACATGGTTGTCGCCTCGTGGCATGGTAATTTTTTTTTTTAGGTGATCCGAGTGCAATGGGAAATTAGTATTCCGTACGGGGAGTTTCACCTAAACCGAATCGTCCAATTGTCTTTTCTCCTGTAACTTGAAATCCGAAACGTCGATCAACGTAAGATAACACGAATAAATGTTTTGTTTTTTTTAAAAGATATTAAATATGACGTAATGCCCTGTGGAATTGCACCGGACAAATGATAGAAGATTCATCCGTATTTATGTATATAGTTTTCTTTGAGATAAACAGGTATCGCCCAAGGTTTGAGGATGATCGAATGATTTTTTTTCCATTTTCTAGCTTATAAGGAAACTAAATATATTCGCTATTAATTTATGTTAACATTTTCTTTACACGTGACAAGTCTTATCATTTTCTTTGCCTTTATTGTTCATGAGAATATGTGTTACGTAAGAGAGGGTAGCAAATACCGGATTATGTACTGTGAAATGTCGAATTTTTAATCATTCGCAACTCGCTCGTTTCGAGGATCGACCGTATATCCAAATACTGCATATCCTTATTGTTTAGTCGATGCTATCGCGTAAAATATTTGTAAAAATTACTAATTCTCCAAAGTAAAAAAAAACAATAATGATGATCGATAGGGAATTGTGTAAGCTATAAAGTGATAGATAAATATCTACTTTGAATTCTTTTCGTCATTTGAACAATAAAGTTGCTAAAGATAGCAAACCTAATTTTACACGATGAGTACAAACGGAGAGAGAAAGAGAGAGAGAGAGAGAGAGAGAGAGAGAGAGAGAGAGAGAGAGAGAAAGAGAGAGGGAGAGTATGATTTTGACAACATTACATTAACGGAACCATTTTAGTTTTGAAGCGTGAGCCCATGCCTGTTGTCCATGCTAATGTACAGACTGTAATTCGATACTTATGAGAGCAATCAGGGAACCCGCAAATTCGGCAGATCATGAAACATTGATATACAACGGATCATAGGAACAAAAAAGTTACAAAAAGTTTTCAAATTCTGCCGAAATTTTGCGTGCCCTTATCCCTCCTGTTAGTTTGGTAATGGGATGTCGCAACTACTAGAGATAAGTAATTTAAACCGTTAATTTTAATTCAGCACCTGTTCTACGTAGGTTAAGTTTACCATAAACTCTTCAAACAGTGTATTTAAAGAATAAATGTAAAGAGAAACGTTATTAATGCTGAATATATATATATATATTATTATTTGAATATATATAAATATATATATATATATATATATATATATATATATAGTGCTTAACTTTTATAATGTATCTGAAATATGGTGAGAAGCAGCGGGAGAGGATTCCAAGTTTGTTATCAACGTAATGCCGTAAAAAGGTTTTCTTTTTCTAGAACGACGTTGCTGTTTGCTTCGGAACGAGCAAACAAGTATTAATTGTTAGTCTTCCGTTAAGTCGTTCGGAAAGATTAAAAACACGATTAATACAATTAGTAGTCGTCAGCCTGAAACTGTGCAAATTTTCCGGATGATCGAATATTTTCGCGCTCTCCGTACAGTTTAGTATTTATCTTTGTTAAAAGCTCCATCGACTGTACTATTTAACATACGGTAAGTTACTTAAATTTCGTTATAGATTTCAGTGTTCCGAGTTCCGAGGTGAAAATATATAAAAAAAATTATTGTACATGATCGGAAATAGAAGATTATTTCTCTCGAGAACGATAGTCTTGAGAACATTAGTCTGGAGAGTATAGTAAAGGAGGTTAGTAGAATTTGACTAGTCTGTAAAATAGAATTATTAGTACTTGTGCTCCCGAGTAACAATAATTTTGTCACTTTTCAAATAGGACTCGCGCTATCAATACGATCTTCCACTATTCGGATTATTTGATTATTTTCTCTACGACGATTATTTGAATTTGACTAGTTTATAAAATAGAATTATTAGTACTTGTGCTCCCGAGTAACAATAATTTTGTCACTTTTCAAATAGGACTCGCGCTATCAATACGATCTTCCACTATTCGGATTATTTGATTATTTTCTCTACGACGATTATTTGAATTTGACTAGTTTATAAAATAGAATTATTAGTACTTGTGCTCCCGAGTAACAATAATTTTGTCACTTTTCAAATAGGACTCGCGCTATCAATACGATCTTCCACTATTCGGATTATTTGATTATTTTCTCTACGACGATTATTTGAATTTGACTAGTTTATAAAATAGAATTATTAGTACTTGTGCTCCCGAGTAACAATAATTTTGTCACTTTTCAAATAGGACTCGCGCTATCAATACGATCTTCCACTATTCGGATTATTTGATTATTTTCTCTACGACGATTATTTGAATTTGACTAGTTTATAAAATAGAATTATTAGTACTTGTGCTCCCGAGTAACAATAATTTTGTCACTTTTCAAATAGGACTCGCGCTATCAATACGATCTTCCACTATTCGGATTATTTGATTATTTTCTCTACGACGATTATTTGAATTTGACTAGTTTATAAAATAGAATTATTAGTACTTGTGCTCCCGAGTAACAATAATTTTGTCACTTTTCAAATAGGACTCGCGCTATCAATACGATCTTCCACTATTCGGATTATTTGATTATTTTCTCTACGACGATTATTTGAATTTGACTAGTTTATAAAATAGAATTATTAGTACTTGTGCTCCCGAGTAACAATAATTTTGTCACTTTTCAAATAGGACTCGCGCTATCAATACGATCTTCCACTATTCGGATTATTTGATTATTTTCTCTACGACGATTATTTGAATTTGACTAGTTTATAAAATAGAATTATTAGTACTTGTGCTCCCGAGTAACAATAATTTTGTCACTTTTCAAATAGGACTCGCGCTATCAATACGATCTTCCACTATTCGGATTATTTGATTATTTTCTCTACGACGATTATTTGAATTTGACTAGTTTATAAAATAGAATTATTAGTACTTGTGCTCCCGAGTAACAATAATTTTGTCACTTTTCAAATAGGACTCGCGCTATCAATACGATCTTCCACTATTCGGATTATTTGATTATTTTCTCTACGACGATTATTTGAATTTGACTAGTTTATAAAATAGAATTATTAGTACTTGTGCTCCCGAGTAACAATAATTTTGTCACTTTTCAAATAGGACTCGCGCTATCAATACGATCTTCCACTATTCGGATTATTTGATTATTTTCTCTACGACGATTATTTGAATTTGACTAGTTTATAAAATAGAATTATTAGTACTTGTGCTCCCGAGTAACAATAATTTTGTCACTTTTCAAATAGGACTCGCGCTATCAATACGATCTTCCACTATTCGGATTATTTGATTATTTTCTCTACGACGATTATTTGAATTTGACTAGTTTATAAAATAGAATTATTAGTACTTGTGCTCCCGAGTAACAATAATTTTGTCACTTTTCAAATAGGACTCGCGCTATCAATACGATCTTCCACTATTCGGATTATTTGATTATTTTCTCTACGACGATTATTTGAATTTGACTAGTTTATAAAATAGAATTATTAGTACTTGTGCTCCCGAGTAACAATAATTTTGTCACTTTTCAAATAGGACTCGCGCTATCAATACGATCTTCCACTATTCGGATTATTTGATTATTTTCTCTACAATAATTATTGACTAGTTTATAAAATAGAATTATCAGTACTTGTGCTCCGGAGTAACAATGATTTTGTTACTTTTCAAATAGGACTCGCGCTATCGATACGATCTTCCACTATTCGGATTATTTGATTATTTTCTCTACGATGATTGTTTAAGGCGATTCCTGAAAGCTTATCGAAATTGTGCAAAATTTTCGTTGTCCCTAAATATTTCAAGTTTCTCAAGCGTGTGTAGACTTTTGTTAACCGACTGTGTATAATTTATTGAGAATTTCAATTTATGTTCGAGTTTTACGTACAAACGATTTATCTTATTGTTAGTAGATCCGTCCCTCGATTTACGCGGTATAAATCGAGCCTGTTAGTATATAAAGAAAAACGGGAAATGCTCGGTAATGAACGAAAAGGAATAAATGTGACATCCGACAAGGTGTACAACGTTTGTTATTGACGTCGGTCCAGAACTTTCTCCGCCCCGAGCTCGGCCGAGACGCCTCGGTCGAGTCGCCTCGATCCGACAACATTTATACATACACATATTTTTGCTCTTTTCGCCGCTCTGCAATACTGTAAATATACGCTCTACTCTACACCGTTTCCCAATTTGTCTAATAAGGGACCAATATTTCAACAGTTTCAGCACGATGTTGTCTCTTAACAATTTACCTACAGGTAGATAATTGACGGTTGTTTTAAAAAAATCTCCCAAAGAACGCTAACAATAATCGATATTCAATAAAATTTAATAGCGTGTTTATTTTATTTTTACTCGAAAGAAGCTCTCAATGGAACGGAAACGTTTTTCTTTTTCTACTAATTCTTGCCGATTTTTTGTTAGATAACTTGCGAAAATTTGCCAAATTTTGATGTTGTTCGCACGAAGATCGATCTAGTAATCGATCGGCAATCGATCTAGTAATTGATCGGTTTAGTAATCGCAGTTACAAAGCAACAAGCTGTCTAGGGTAACATAATTGAATCATCTTCCTCGGAATTACCATTCTCGAAAATATTAATGGATTTCCAGTAGGTAAAGTGTTAACAATGAGATCGTATACATTAGCAATGTGTCGGTGACAAGAATAATTAACACTAGGACTAACGAATGCGTCGATGCGATCGATTTCAAGTTTTCGAATTCTCGGTTCATAATATTAAACACGTTTATACGTGCGCATGTTACAATGAACGTTTTATCGAATCTAAATAGACACGTTAGTTAGTTTTATCATTTTTACAAGAGACTGAAAACAAGCGTTGCGAAGCGGTTCGATCTGTGCGATAGTACTGGTGTTAACAGATTCGTTAGTAATAAGTCAACTGTAAGGAATACCAGAAAGTCAATAGTATCTATTTCATGAAACAAAAGCATAAAAGTCAAGATTTATCGTAGCCATTATTATAATAGTTTTAAAAATCTATGATACTAAAGATGTCTTAATAAACACGTCAATAGTAATAGTAGTATTGCTCGTGAATCAACGAACCGACCCTAGTAGCATAATCTATTAAGTTCTTGTTGTTTCTATGTTTGAAAATTCTAAATACTGTTTGAACAATATAACGTATCCTTTTTTATTCGTAATGCCGAATAATATTCGTTTCGCGTCAATATCTGTGACACTATTTAAAAAAAAAAAATGTACTCTAACTTTCAACCATTGTAATTGGGAAAGTTTAAACAACATCGAGAAACGAATTACAGAATTGTCATTTGTGTATCAAAATGTATGAACTTGTATCAGAAATAAAAAGTAATAACGTTTCTGAAGCCAACGAAAGTGGATCTTCGTCTGTATAGTTTCCACTTCTCCTATTGTTACAAGAATTATTGCTCCTTTTTGATTGTTTATGATAGGTATTATTGAATCAATTGTTTTCTCATATAATAAAGCAATTCTTAAAGTAAGTAGAAACATAAATTTTGTTTATTTATTGCACATGTTCTTTTGTATAATAAGCGACTTGAAATGTTTAATTCTGTATTTAATTTACGCCACACTCATTTTTTGTCTGTCGGATCCGTAAAGATTAAATTTGCTTTCATCCGAAAATATTACATCATTCCACCAACAGTTGTCTTTGTAAAAATTTCTTTTGCAAATTTAAGACCGACAGTGAAACACGGTGGTAGGAGTGTAATAGTCTGGGGTTGTATCTCGTCTGTAGGTGTAGGTGAACTAGTTTTTATCGATGGTATAATATTATAGGCAAAATGAAGTATTTGGACATTTTTTTTTTTAATTTAATTAGAAGTGCTATAAATATGGGTATACGTTCAGTTTTAAGTTTTATCAGGACAATGATCCTAAACACAAGGCCAGAATTGTACAGGAATATTTATTATACAATTGTCCAAAAGTACTGCATCCGCCTCCTCGATCGCCTGATTTAAGTCCAATTGAAAATTTATGGGATCAATTGGACCGCAAAATTCGTACAACACCTACAAAGACAACAACAGAGATGAAACAACGTTTCTTAGACGAATGTAAACGGATTTCGCCGGATTATTTAAATAAAATCACCTGTAACATGCCCAAGCGATTACGTGA